CAGTCTGATTTCAGACAAGTGATGAAGAGACCAAGGCGGGCAGTGAAACTTCTCAGCTTGCACTTGCCACCCAGCGAATGGAAGCTATGACAATGAGCCCACCACTTTGGACAATGGGCAAAACACTGCTGCGCAAGCTGACAAATGCAAATCCCGGAGCATCAGTCTTGCGAACTCAGACAGCCCAGCAAATGACGAACCTCAGGCCGACGCGGAGCTGAACAACACCGACCTTAGCCTTGAAGAACCCCAAACAGCAGTGCACAACGATCGAACAAACACCGAACAACGCATCACAGACAATGCAATTGCCAAAGTTCACAGCCAGGCTCAGCATGCAGCCTACCAGGTCAAAACACAATCACGCATAACAGCCCATTTGTTATACGAACGCTTCACTTTCCGTCACCATTGAGGGGTTCCCCAAGGATGCGGTCTACTCGGACAAGCAGTCCTTTATCCAATGGATGCTCGACTGATGTCACAAGGGAGAAGTTAGCAACACAATCCTCGCAATGTTTTCGAATCCTCGCAATGTTTTCGTCGGGATGGCATCGAAACTCAGTGGTTTGTTGACACATACCCCTGTCGCGAGCACCAACTCTGGTGGTAGTTACAAGCAACGAAAAGCCACACGCAAACTGCAATCCGTGTACAGATGCACGAAATCGGGGTCGTTACCTCAAGCCGGCTATGCATACTATCAAAGAAAGTGGCCGACATGACAACATTGAGTTTTATTCCGCTTGGGGTGAAAACGCCATCCATGAGTACCTCGTATGGTGCCATTTTAGCTACGCAAGCGCCAAATTTGCCTGGTGCTTGCCGACAACCCGATCTTCAACAACATTCGCGAAAACGTGGACGACAAAATCGATTCCAACGCCAAAAGGAAGGGAATAACCAGACCAGTTCAGAAAGGCAGCGGCAAAGGTAAATTGTTCTATGCTTGATCCCTGTGCGAACATTCCGGACAAAATACATCAAGGTCAAGAGTTGGCGACATGATGACCTAATCAAAGCTGTGCTGCAGGATGAACAGGATGCACAGGAAAAGTTGGAAGGGTCCAGTGGTTATATAGCACTTTCTATGGAGAAATTATACCTCTTTGTGAACCAGCTGCAGACAGCTGTTAGTCGACTTCTGCATTACCAACGAAATCGTTGCCGTCAGTAACTTCTTAAAGGCGACAGCCGCCCACAAATGTACCCAGTAGCTTCTTGCTCCTAGTAGCGATGCCAGGAGCCCCTAGTAGCGTCCTTGCTCCTAGTAGCAATGCCCTTTTTTCCTAGTAGCACACAAATGTACTTAGAGATGTGGGAACAAATGGCTGTCAAGGTCCATGGACTCCAGACCGATTTGCAGAATTAGATCTTTTTCTGAAGCAGGCGCAGTGGAGAAACGCAATCCTGAATTTACACTCGCACACCAATATCGCCTTCAATAGTGATCATGCGATTGTAGCAGGCGATCGGATTAAATTCGGGGCCCGAAGGAAAATCAGGTTAATTCGCTGCTTGGATAGATGTTTCCCTCCAGCCCCCAACGCACTAACAATTATCGACCTATAATCGTTACATTACATCCATGGCAACTTTCGGTTGATTCTAGACACGTTCGAAAGTTACATGCAGAATTGTGAGCGGTTCGTTTCTTCCCTGATCACGGCCAATGGTCTAACCGAGTCTAACCTACAGAAGAAAAAAAGAAAACACTACAGTATTCAGTCAATCGCGAGTACCTCTCTACTCATACCTGGAATCTCATACAACAAGGACAAGCTGGTCACCAATGTAAGAGCACTGAGGAACAACACTTAAATCGCGAAATCAAACGAAGCACGAAGGCGGACAAAGTGACTTGCGTGGTTCGCCGACTAGAAGACCATGCCGACCCAAAGACAGCTTGGCAACAAATTCCATACAAAAACACTCCAAAAGGCCAACTACAGGTGTAACGATTCCCAAGGTAGATTCTTGTTAAGAAGCTTCAAAGACATACTAAAAAGCTTCTTGTTACTACAGGTGAAACGATTCCCAGTGAAGTGTACGCAAAGTACCTTTTTCAAAAGCAATGGGGCCCAGCCACGTCTCCTCTTCCCTTTATTCAAAACCTGATATCTCGGATCAATGCATGCGATTCAATACAAACAACATAGCCCTGCTGGAAGTCAAAAAGCGATATCTAGCATAAAGACAAATAAAGCCCTTGGCCCAGATGGTCCAGATGGTGCTATAGTTGAACTCTTCAAGTAGCTGAATGATGCAAAAATATACGGACTGTCTAAATATTCTTCTGGTGTGAGCGGCGGGTCCCAGAAAAACTCACGGCTGCTTATGTTGCTTCCATTCACAAAAATGGTCCCCATGACCGTCCCATGACCGTACCGAAAACTATCTGCCTATTGTCTTACTGTAACTTATTGAACTCTTTTTTAATATCTGCTAGTGTCATTCAGCACAGACTTTCTTCCATTCTTGACGTGCACCTTGGTGATACTCAGTTTGGATTCCGTGCAAAAGGGTGGACTGCTGAACCCCTCTTTTGTGCCAATACACTTTGTCAATGCAGGCAAATGATCCTTTGTTCTGAGTTGTCTTAGACTGGGCAAAATGTTTGATAAAGTTGATCACGCGGAAATGCTTCAATCACTTGCGCAGCTTCAAGTCCCAATGCGATACTTGACTCCGTCAAAAATTGGACGACAAAAAACATGCGCAAAGCCTGGTGTTTAGCTCAACAAACTGACAGGGGCCTCCACGCCCAACGTTTTAATATACCTAACCGGTCACAAAAGCCGTCACAAAGAGAAATGCTGGTCACAAAAGTGGTCGAGTTCAAGAGCTGAACATGCCTTTGACTGGGCGCGGTTGCGCCAGAGTCGTCACTCGTGAATCAGTTCCTCCGTGTGAAAACACTCTGTGTGTGAAGAGCACATTGTTACTCGTCGCGAACATTGCTCCTAGTGGTATGGCCGCCCCTAGTAGCGTCCTTGCTCCTTGTAGCGATGCCAAGAGCCCCTAGTAGCTTCTTGTAACTAAATATGTTCTTTCCTTTTTCACTCGTGAAAGAGTTGCTCTTCGCGAATCACTTTGATTGGTGCTTGTGATTGATGACTCTTCTATTTCCTTGGAATGTACTCTATCTGTACGTATTGTTGTGAGCTCTGTACATGCCTCGTTTTACAGTCCTACGTTTTGTTCACCTTTCAATTGAATTCAACAGGGTAGGGCCAACGGCCACTTGTCTCACCCAGATAAAGATGAGCTTGCAAAACAAGAACAAAAATAAACAAATAAAAATATCTCCTCGAGCTGATTCATCCTTGTCCACTTTGCCACATCAGCTTTTCGAGCGTCATGCATCGCTTGCTTCAGGGCAGAGTCAGTTTTCTCATCCTGAGCTTTCAAACCTTCACGCATTTCGATCAGGATGGGGTCCTCCTTCTGCGCTGCGAGTTCTGCCTCCAACCTTCTCGCTTCTTCAGCTGCTTCCCTGGCTTCACGTTCCGCCTGGAGTTGCGCTTCCGTATCTTCTTGGCTCTTCTGCAAGTACTCAATGAACTCCTTACGTGTAATGAAGGCTTCTTCACCTGCCCCTCCTCTCAAGACTTCCACATAGGACTCAAGCGCGAGTATCCGCTTTCCCAATTGTTGATATGCGGCATCCACCTTTTTGGTGCTGATAAGTGACTTAAGAATGTCATCCAAATTGTCTCCGTCAAATGGATCTCCGGTGCTTCCAGCTCCTGACATTCGTCTTGCCCTTGGTGGTTCCAACTTGGGAGCACCCGCGTGCTTCCGCACATATGGCAACTGCCCAACGGTGATGGCCTTGCTGGCAGATCCATTCTTGCCGGATGTTTTCTTGGAATCAACTTTTTCTTCTGGGGTGGTGCTCGGCGCCAAAGCTTCAGGCCGTTCGAGCTCACTCTCAGGTGTCTCTTGCGACATGGCCTATCATAGCACACCCGTGCTCAGCTACACTATTGCCCTGACTTGGGCCGGAAAACAAGTAAAACATTTAAGCAAAGCTGGTCAGTCAGTATAGATCAGCAGCACTCAACATGCACAGTAAGATTAAAGCGAACATGCTTGAACGATGAATGATGCCGTCAATGAGCTCTCCAGTTTGTTCCATTTTGCCAGATCCGACTACTTTAATTCAACACTACTTAACTTAAGGTAGCTCCTTCTGTTGCCATCTTGTCAACCCCAACGCTGCTGAACAGCAAGTGACCAAGCTCCCCTAGCAGGATTTTGCGACATGCCTCAATGTCGGCTTGGCTTAGGAGTCTTAAGCCACATCGAAATCACGAATCTGCCGCTTTGCAGACTCAAAAACGAGCTCCA